AAGCAAGATCCCCTCAACAAACGGTTAGTAATATTACTGATCAGATCTCATTGTCATTCTCTCTTTTCCTTATTTTCTTATCCTCTTTATGTGTTCCTTTCCCCCAAACCCCCGCCTTTCTTTTCTGTTAATTTTAATCATCCTCTTTATATTCCTCTTGGATTATCTTAAAACCATAAAGGAATAAGTCTCTCTATATAATTTATTAAATAACTAATCTTCATCCCTTTCTTCTTCATCTACCTTCTGTTTTTTAGTGCATAAATTCATGGACATCCTTACCAATTGGTCATTCTATTATATATCTATTTCTATATGTATATTTCTATATGTATTTTTTATTTTAATAAAATATTTGAAGTACAAAACTACTTAAGCAAGAATAAAGGAAGGCAATGCTTAAGCAGCTCCTTTATATCAGGTACTGGTATTAGATACTTTCAGTGATGAAAGAAAATGTGCATGTACCCTAATTCCCTCTACTTCCAAAAATAGAGATTTGATAGTGATGGGCTCTGACGTGGTTCATAATACTTGATTAACGCTTCTAGGCACTGCTACTTATATAAAAGTGAATGCTATTAGAATTTAAAAAGAAAAATAATCAGAAAAATTTATTTTTGCTTTGACAAAAATCCATCTAGAATATAAGAAACACTAATGGAGTTTAGATTGCCTGTCACAGCAAAATCCTATGGGGGAGAGAGGACCTTTGGCTCTTATAATATGGGTCAGTGGGGCTCAGTTTCACGCTCAACCAGATAAACTCTGTAGCTCTGAAACTCTATTTTCAGAATATTTTAAAATATGAGAAATTTCATGGGTTTCTTTCTTTCTTTTTTTAAAACACTGCTCATCAAGAGGGTGTTGGTGATTGAGGATGAGTTGGAAAAAGAAACATGCTTTTGTATCTGTGTCTTAAGTGCCTCTAGCTGGAAGTACCTACCTTCTCTGATCATTTCCCAATTCTCAGTCACATGTCTGTAAACTGCCATGATAAGACAGAGAACTTTTTTTCACCTGTTTGGACCTATGTCTCCTTTTTTTGAGAGAAGAGGGCATTGGGCTAACGCTGTCTGGCTTGAAAAATCCTTTCAATGAATCTCAATTTCAGGGGTCAGGGGACTTAATTAACCATCCCTGTTAGTGGCTGGCAAGCTGGAAGAGATCTCGTTTTTAAACTTTCCAAAAAATTTGTCTAGTTATTATGGGTTTAGGTATAAAATGGGATTTTAATGAAATTGATAATTGTTTTAGGCAATTAAGTGGGATTATTTAGTTGATTTAGGAGATCTGTACTAGATTGGGTACCTGAAGACCTGGTCTTTTTTTCAACCTGGTTTTGCAAGCCTCAGCAAACAATATGAATTCCCTGAGTTTTAATTTTTCCACTGTCAAACTAATGTAATTATGTTTTCATAGATTACTGTGAGGATTATATGAGATTATGCATATGTAGTGCTTCACAGATTCAAAGACTTTAATAGACCTATAGATCTTTGGATCACTTTGGTTGTTTTTGAGGTGTGTTTCAGAGGAGATTCCATATACTGCTTGAAAAATCAGTTGAAGCAGATGACCTTTCATCTTTGTTCTGAACTTGAGTCTACCTGTGAGGATCAAATTTTCCTCTGGGTGGATTAGCCATAGTACTGAGTCAGAGCACATTGCTTTGTGAAGGAACGTAATATTTTATGTGAACGTTATGTTCTTAAGGAGTTTGCATTATTCATAATTTCAATAATCCAAGACTAATTTTCCCAATTTAGTAAGCGTAAAGAAGAAATGTGCACTGAGAGAGTATAGACCTCCCACTGTTAGGGCGGGTAATCTCTCCATCATTACCTGTTTTCCCGACCTCCTGCACTGGTCTTTTTCCTCTCCTTTTCCCTTCTCCTCTTCTGCCTTCTCTATCTATCCTCTTTTCTTTCTCTTCCTCCCTTTCTTTCTTCTCTTTCAGAGATACTTTCTTATATACAGATACACATTTTTCTATCATGCGCTCCAATATCAACAGCTCATTATTTTTCGATACTTTTTTGGTCTTTTAAATAGTGTTTTAGCATGTCTAACCATTTTTCAAGTTAGTTATTTGTTTTTTGTTGTTGTTCTCGAGTACCGTGATTTGATTAATGACTATAATGTTTATTATATAAGAAGGCAGGTTATAAATCATAACTGTAAGTGTAAAAATAGCAGCCATATAATCACTGGAAGTTACCATCTGAAGTTTTGTTTTTTTTTTTTTAATAGAGGCATGCTTATTTATTTATTTGTTTGTTTGTTTGTTTGTTTTTGTTTATACATGCACTGGGTACAGTCAGAAGCACGGGAGGGTGAGAGAATTCACCAGAGCCAGAGCGGGGAGCAGAGCAGGCAGAAGGACCGAAGTACACTGCTGAGGGGAGCAGCGGGCGGCAGGAGAGGTCTGCGCGCCATGTGGGACCCTCCTCCGGTGGCCGGGGAGCAGCCGGGGGATCGAACTGGTGCCGCAGACGCTGCGGCAGCTTCGCCAGCTTCGCAACCCAGCGCTCAACTGCTGCGCCACCGGGGAGGCCCACCATCTGAAGTTTTAATAATAATATTGCAAGATGGTTACACGGTCCTGGCAAAGGATCACAGCTATTGATCCCATATGGTGACTTTGTATCCAGTTTGTAATTCATTTGAATTGCTAACTTTGAAACTGTATGACTCTAGACTTAAAATATACATATTTTCGGGCCTCCACAGTGGTGCAGCTGTTGAGCGCTGGGTTGCGAAGCTGCCCGCAGCCTCTGCAGCGCCGGTTCGATCCCCGGCTGCTCCCCGGCCACCGGAGGAGGGTCCCACATGGCGCGCAGACCTCCCCTGCCTCCCGCTGCTCCCCTCAGCAGTGTACTTCGGTCCCTCTGCCTGCTCTGCTCCCTGCTCTGGCTCTGGTGAATTCTCTCACTCTCCCACGCTTCTGACTGTACCCAGTGCTTGTATAAATAAATAAATAAATCTCTAAAAAAATACATATTTTCATTATGTACAATTTTGTGTATGAATGTACTTAGCATTTTCTATATCACACTCTTTCAAATTTGACTAATGTCAATGTGCAAAAAATGTGACCCTCACTATATTTTAAGTAACATATGCTTCCCATTCTTACAGCAGGGACTTTCCCTATTGTCCACCAATATTGATTCTTGGAAACCTAATTTAGCTAAGTTTGATGCTTTAAAATGACAACTATGACAGTTTATAAGGAAATAACAAAGCATGATAACAATTGAATGAATATTCACTTCTTTCAACATGTGAGAGTTTTCTATGAAATCCTGCCATACACACACACACACACACACACATATGTGTATATATATTTTCATAGAAATATAAGCTAATGTTTCAACCATTGATTTTATCCCTGATGTATCATTTTTCCTTTAGTGAGGTTTCCATAGTAATATTTAGTAATATTTTCTCTTTTCAGTGGAGATATTGGATAGTAAGAGGAGCATATGAGTGGAGCAAAAGGCTCAAATTCAAGTCACAGTCCCACAACTCACTAACTTTAAGACTTTGGAAATATATGCCATCATTTAGTCTATGCTTCTTTCTTTAGGAAAAAGAAGGGGGAAGGAAATATTTCCCAGGGTATTTGGATATTAAATAAAATCATTTGAATGACCACATCCTACAACTTCTGAAGGGTTATATAAATGCAAGATGTTATTACTAAAAACATATCTTCTTGAACACTACTTAAAGCACAACAATGAAAGAAAACTATATTCCTAAAATGCAGTGATTACTGAGAGGCTCTCCATTATCAAGTCAATCTATATTTTTCACTTCCATTTTGGAAGAAAGAATGTCACAAATTTACTATAGCAATAGAAATTTACAATAAAATGTGCAGTCCTTAATATTTCTTTATATACTCTTTGGATTTTCTGAACATTACTGCATTTAAAATTTTATAAGATGTTATAATCTCTTAAAACATTTTTGACTTAAGCCAAAACTGATGAAGTGTGTAAGATTTCTTTTATCTGTTTCATATGTTTTTAATGCTGTTGAGCCTTGTAAAAAAGTCTTTTATTATATATTTGATAAACTTATTGGAATATTTGTCATTCATATTGGGATATGCACTGCTGACAAAATTGATATACAATGGTATTCATATTTCTGGATGAAAATATGAAGAGAGTTCACTGTATTTACTGCTTTCATCTATTTTCCACATATTCAACAACTTTGGCACCTTCCACAAGAATCAAAGATATGCAAACATAAATCTACAAAGAAATGAAATTTGAGCTATAATTTCAATTTTTAAATAATTTAAACATTTCCAAATCCACCTTTAGGTAACTATATATATATTTTTCACTTCCTTTCTCACTGATGAAACTGCAGCAAGGACAATACAATTACAGACCTCTGGAACAAGTTAGGAATGAAAAATCACTGGTGGGGAGTTTTCAATCTCAGAGTAGCACATTTATTTGTTTTTGTGTTGCACAAGTTTTATTTCTTTGCTCTTGTTACTATAAATTTATCAACCTTTTCTTTCATTAAAATAATAGTTACTTATGGCGCTCTCACTTAATTTAAAGCCTGAGGTAAAACAGATCAATAAGATTTGATGGCAAAGTTCATAAAGTTTTTGGAAAAATATGATTATATACTTGAATTTTAAATCCAGGCTGCCACTGTTACCACCAGCTCTATTTATTCTAGAGATGAAGTCAAAATTTATGTCAAAAGACTAAACTTCAAATTATTATTTATAAAATATCTTATACCTGAGCACTCAGAATCTCATTTGATCCTTTATCATTTCAAAATGGCTAAGCTCTGAGAATTCTTATCTAAAATGTAAAAAGCAAAGGAGAGAGTTATTGGAGCCCATTTAATTCTTGATTCCCAATTTTCCTCACCCTAAGCCTAATCTCTTTTCTCCCCTCACATTTCATTAATAAGTTCAGGAATGTTACCCAAACTTTAATTGATTGAATTACCTTAGCAACAGTAGACCCGGCGTTCCCACTATGAAGATTTCAATTGTGTCAGGCAATTATATTCATCTGTAGTTTCACCGTTAGGCAGAAAGTCTATTTAAAAATGACCAGTATGTAGATATTTTTTGTTTCCAAGGATTTGGGGATATTTCCCTGTCTTTTTCTTCACTCAAATTTTAAGGGTATTTTCAGACAAGAAAAAATAAACAATGCAAGTACTGAAATTTTCAAAACTGTAGTATTTTTTCTAGCATTTGTTGTTGGTTGCTCAGGAACAAAAACAGCAGTCAGAGGAGCAGAAAGTAAGTAATAAAAATGAAATAAACAATGAAAAGTGTGGTTCTTCATCAAACCTAATTTTGCAAATAGTAACCCTGGTTCCTTTCACAGTTTTTGAAACTTCTTCTCTGCCCTGCAGTGTTATTTGCATCTCTTCCTCTGATTGTTTTACTCACTTGATTCCTGAGTATTATTCTAATTCTCATAAACAGCAGGACACTTCAGCATTCCACTGGGTACATGTCTTGCCTTTCATGTTAGCTTTTAAAAAGTCTTCCTTTAGTAATAGCCACATGATTCCTAATGGGCAGCCAGTTAGAGAGTCCAGAGTCAAACACAGCAATGCTTATTACAAAAATAAATGAGAATCAATGATGAAACTTCCGGATATGAACATTAATCTTCCTTTCCGAATTATCCATGCAGTTCATTCTCCCCATATGAATACAAATCAGGAGTCAACCTTTTTTTTAAGTGCTATTGTCTTTAACTGGGAAAATGTCACGACTGCAGCCAAAAGCATAGAGGTTTTCTCAGTTTCCGTTTCCAGGATCATCCTCGTGCAGATTCCTGGCTGAAAATGCAGAGCTCTTCGGTGTTATCCTCAGTCACCTCCACTGGGCCACTTTGTCCTTGGGTGGTGTTTGTTTTCCAAAATCAAGCAAACTCAAGAGATCCTCCCCATCCATCTAATTCTGTTCACAGATTCCATATAAGAGGCAGTTGCTGATTTGCTTCCATGGTTAAAAAATAAACAAAAACTGCCTGCACTTCAAGCCAGTAGGAATTCATGGGTTCATATATGGGTTGCTTCAGATATGAGTTGTTCTTTTAAATATAAGGTTTCCTGAGCTAAGCAGATACTGCATGCTTACATATTACTTTGATTTGTCAGGATGTCTCCTTGGTAACTAGTATTTCATCTTTGATGATTTGTATTTTGGGAAAGTTCTTGCAACTAAAAATGAACAAACTAAAAGTTGTGCACCATATATCTATATATATAGGTATATATAGATATGGGTCAAAGGGCATGCATGCAGAGACAGGAATTACTAAAAACTGAATTTCCTATTTACAAAAGTGTGGGAGCATCAAGGTCTCTCTTTTTCATTCTTTCTCTCATAAGGAATGGTTGGGAATAGGTTATGGAAGAATACCAATTAGTTAAGGGTTTTAAAAGTGATATTTCTAAACAATATTTCTTAATAATAATTTCACTGGTACATGGGGTTTTGCAAGTCAGTGGTTTTTCAAGAAGCCTCAGAGAATTTCCACTTTAACCAGATTTTGCAACTTTGGTTGTACTTATCTCTAGTTAGAAAGAATGAAGGATAATTTACCTAAAAATTAGTGACTGGACTATTAAATGCTTAACTAAATTTTATTCCTCTATCATTTTATTGTTTCATCATAATGATACTGTTTAAAAGAGGCAGCACTTCATTAGACTATGGAAACACTATTGATAAGCTTCATAGTGAAGAGATTAAAGTTGCCCCAGGTTTAGAGCTAATAATTTCCTGACACTCTTTCTCCTGTATATCAATAACCCTGAAAGGCAGTGCAATGATGTTATGCAAAAACAAGGTGAATAAAGTATTAAATATTAATTTCTTAATTTGAAAATGGTGCCAATGTTGATGTCGCTGGCGATTTGGCAAGGAGGAGCAATGGGTGTTTTGATTTCAGGCTGCCTTTTGATGGTACTAACACTTCCAAGCTAATACTGTATTGCAAACATTATGTCTCAATGTCACAAGACAACAGTCACCCTCTGGAGGTTTGTACAAGAGCCACGAAAAGAAGCATTTGCAAATGAGATTTGTTGGGCTAAACTAGGATAGCATTATTGCTACTCATGGCTTGCTCCATGAGATTTGCAAATAATGAAAAATACGGGTTTTAACCCCACCCATTCCTAGCTATCAAGGGAAGTTAGTGGTAAAAGTTATGCATGAGTATATACCTAGGCCTGCCTCACTTTAGAAACTTCACTCTTCACCAAGATCATTCTGTAATCAACAGGCCTCTTCTTGATCTGTGACCTCACATCCAGCTGGAATTCAGCTGAATCCTCTATCCAGGAGGAACTGCCCGGCATTCAAATTTATGAAAAATATGACAGGAAAGAGCGAGAGCCTTCCAAATGGGTGGAGGATTTTTGTGTTAGGAAAAAAAGGAGAATGTGACAGATGAGTATTTTTGATAGCTGTTTGATAATTTCTGAGAAATCAGGGTCATTAGCAGAGTAAAACATTTGTTGGGTAAAGTTTAAACTGAGATCTGGCTACATTGTCTAATAAGCCAGTCACTAGTCACACAAGGCCACAGAGCACTTGAAATGTGCCCATTCTGAATTCAGATATCTGTAAGTGTAAAATACACTGCTGAGCTTGAATACTTAGTGAAAAAATGAAATATTCTATTAGTGATGTTATATGATTAGATATTAAAATGGCAATATTTTACAGTGGATTAAAGAAAATAATTAAAATTAATGTCAGTTTTTTCTATTTGCTTTGCTTTAGTTGAGCTATTAGAAAATTTAAAATTACAGATATGACTTTGTCCACACTTCATTTCTATTGGACAGTGTTGGTCTAGAGTTTGAATTTAAGGGGAGTATTGCTTAGCAGATGCTAAAGGAAACATCTAAGTAGATAAGTGGTAAAATGATAATTACTCTTGAGGACTGTATTCTTGTAATTGATGTAGGTTAGAAAAGTTTGCAGGGAGAAGGCACTAGAGAGAGGGAAGAGATGACAAATAACAATTATTTTGTACTGGCTATGTGCCAGGTGCCCTGGTCCATTATCTCTATCAATCTTCACAATGACCTTGCTATGTAGATGTCTCACAGATGAAACTGAGGTTTAAAAATAATAATTACTAAGAAATTTATCCCAATCTACCTAGCCTAGTGAGAGAAGATTGGAGATTCAACCTCAGATCTGTGTCATGTTCTTCCACTTGACCAGAGAGGCTGAGAAGAATAACAAAAACTGCTGGGGAAGGTTAAATGGGGAACATTTAAAAAAGGCTGAAACAGATAATTAGAAGGTTTTAACGAAAGACTAGGGCAAATGGTAAATGGAAATTGATTTAAGCACACCTAGGGATTAAGATCACTGGAGAGAGAGAGTGAGGTAAAATAAATGTTCAGGTCTCAAGTTGGGTGTTAATGCTGATAAATCGTGGCTCTCATCAAAGCCCATTCCACAAAGTCACCCTAATAACATATATTTATTGGGCTTCCACTATATGCATGTCACTGTCTAGTAGGATGGAAAGCAAAAAGAACCATAAAATATAATTTCTCACCTTTTTTTTTACTTAGGAAGGCAAGAATAAGGCTTGAAATCATTGAATGGTTAAAAAAGGCTTGACATAGCAATTAATGGTACCTGTATGATGTGCAAATATTTTCTTCCCCTCAGTAGGGTGTTTTCTAAGTGATAGTTACCAGTAGTTCCTTTACTTTAAAGAATATTTTTAGCTGATGAACTTCCATTATTGGGGTTTTTGTTTCCTTTGCTGCTGGAGTTGTTTCCAAAGACATAGAGCCAAAGTATTTTGCTTTTTTACCCCTATCCTTTTTATGGTTTCAGGTTCATACATCCAACTTATTACTCCAGTTTGAGTTAATTTTCACATATAGAGTAAAGTAGTGGTTTTGTTTCATTCTTTATTCTTTACATAGTATGTTCAGTTTTCTTAACATGTGTTGAAGAAAATTTCTTTAGCCATTGTATAATCTTGGATCCCTTATCATAGATCAACTCTTCATATTAGTGTGGGTTTATTTCTTGGCTCTCAATTCTACCCCATTGGCATGTGTTTATTTTTATTCTAATGTCATACTGCTTTGTTTCTGGCATCCAACAAGGGGCTAATATTCATGATCTAAAAAGAAGCCATTCAGTTTAATAAAAAGAAACAAATGACTCAATAAAAACAGGCAGAATTTCTAGATTCTTTTCCAAAGAAGACACGTAGATGGCCAAAGGATACATGTTCATGATCACTTGTCTTCAGCAAAATGCAAGACTAAACCACAATGAAATACCACCTCACACCTGTGAGAATGGCCTATATCAAAAGACCATAAACAAGAAGTGTTTTCAAGAATGTGGAGAAAAGGAACCCTTATATATCATTGGTAGGATGTAGACTGGACTAGTACTTATGGCAATTGGTTTGGATATTTCTCAAAATATTAAAAATAGATCTTCAAGATAATCCTAGATTATTCCCAAAGAATGCAAAAACAATAATTTGAAAGATATATGCAGTCCTAGATCCATTGCAACACTCTTCACAAGAGCCAAGTTATGGAAAAACCTAAGTGTCCAAGAAGAGATGAGTAGATTAAGATGATGTGATATATATACACTATGGAATACTAATCAGCAATCTAAAAAGATAAACTTATGTCATTTGCCACAACATAGATGGAGCTGGAAGGGATGACGCTAAGTGAAATAAACCAGGAGGAGAAAGATAAATACTAGATGGTTTCACTTACATGTGGAAAACAGAGAAACCAAACAAAGGATCAGATGAAGACAAACCTTAAAAACAAAAACAAAAAAACAAATCCTTGAAGGCTGACCATAGAACTGAGAGGGGAGAGAAGAAGAGAGGGAGGAGTTAAAATAGGAATGGGGAGCACAATGGACTATGGTGGAGGACTAAGGAGGACTATGGAGGACTGTGTTTTGGTGGTAGGAAGAGCCATGGTGTTCACACCTGAGGGAAGAAATCCTATACTGTCAAAAAATTAACAAAGATCTGAGAAAATGGTACTTCATAATTTTTTTAAAGATGTGCTACACACACCATACAATGGAATACTACTCAGCTATCAGATAGTATAAACTCTTGTCATTTGCAGCAACATGGATGGAGCTGGAGGGGATTATACTAAGCAAAACAAGTCAGAAAGAGAAAGCCAAATACCTAATGATGTCACTTATATGTAGAAACCAGAGTGTCAAGTGAAACCAAACTTAAAAGCTAATGCTTGGAAGCTGACTATAGAAGTGAGAGATCTAAAGGGGGAGGGAGAAAATGGGGTGCACAAAGAGGGGAGAGAGCACAATGGAATATGGTGGTGGTGGGCAATGGTGATTTGGTGGTGGGCAAACTGTGGAAATAACACCCGAAGGGGAGGGACCCTATACTCTCAAAATACAGTGATGTAAGCCAATGTTATCTCAATAAAAAAATTTGAAAATATAAAGAACAAAACATGAAACTAAAGAAAAAGATTTCTAATCTGTTAGGGAAGAATATTTACATATTAAAAAAACCCTAATTTTTAGAAAAACAAAACAAGTAAACCAACACAATCCCTAGAAATCTGACTATAACTGGGGCTACTAGAGGGGAACTATAAGTTTGGGGAGCAATGTGGGAAGGGGACCCACTGGACAGTGTTGGAGGATTATGGGTGCTTTTGTAGTAGTTAAGATGTGGTAACATACAGCTGAAGAAGTGTGAACCTATTATAAATCATACACACTGTTGTAAATCAATGTTACTTCAATAAAAAACCATAAATTAAAAAAAAATAAGTAATAGTACCAGCTAGGAGTTATGAGTTATAAGTTTTTTCTCATTCTAAATCTTTGAATAACCACCAACAGTATGACCTTTACAAGTTACTTAACCCTTCCAATGTTCAGTTTT